CTCAAGTCTGGGTTCAAGCCACAGACTCTTCTCTATCTGTCACCCTGTGAGGCGGTGGGGTCCTGAGTGCCAGGCTGGGCTTCAGGGTCACCTTGGTCTGCTTGGCAGGTTCCTGGATCAGGGGCCAGCCCAGGGGAGGGTCCCGCCCAGGGGAGGGTCCAGGCGCACCAGTCGTCCTCCTGGCCAGGTCTGTTGAGGATGTTGGCTGGATGCTGTCATCTCTTCACGTGTGGATTTCTGAAGAGGCACCTCAGTTTCTTTCTGGCTTTTGGGGGCTGCTTTCAGTCCCTTCCCTTAAGGGAGCATCCAGGATTGAGTCGTGTGTGTTGGGAGCAGAGTCAGAGGAGGCGCAAGTGCAGAGAAGTTGCTCTTGGAGTCAGGGGTGCACCAGGGCCGGACCTCCGATGGAGGGGCTCCGCTGCCCCTTTGTTCCTGCCCCCGGCAGCAGTTAGAACAGCTGGGAGTGAAAAGCAGGCATGAATGTGGGCCAGGAAGGAGCCCTGGTCCGGGGGGCTTTTGGTTGTAGACCAGGGGGCCAGCGTCTCACCCAGATGGCCCACCCTGGCCTTCTCTGTCAGACAGGGACAAGGCGGCTGTGGGCCTTGCAGGCAGGTGAGAGGCACTCTGAAGATTGTGCTGGGACAGCAGAGGGACGTGTGGGATGAAGGGCCCCACACTGGGGTGACAGGCCGATGCTGCGTCACCCCAAGTTGTGTTCCCACACCCCCAGGCACGGGCAGGGGTCCCCTCAACCCGGCCTGGCCAGGCAGCCCTGCAGCCTGGGGAGCTGTCGGGACAGCTGTGTGCCACTGGAAGGAAACCCAAATCAGGGAGAGAAAGCAAAAAACACCTGGCTGTAAACTGTGCTCTTTAGCGCGTAGCCAGCTTGTGTCCATCTGTCGTCCACTGCTCGGAGGAGGAGGCTGGGGTGGGCCTGTCTGAGTTGCCTGGAGCCAGCTTACGTGGACCCCACTTCTCGGAGCTGCAGAGAATCTTTTGCACTAAATCATGCTGTTTCCTAAAAGCTTTGTTTTGTGTTAATTGACTCACATGACTCAGATCCTCCGAGGCCCCCTGTGAGGTGGGCACGTGTCCACAGGGCTGGGGTGGAGGGGTTGTGGCCGTGCGGACACAAAGCTGCTCGGTGTCTTGAGTGCCTGTGAAATTCTTTATGAAACGAGCCACCTGCATTAAACTTATTTTTTTTAACATCTTGATGGAGTGATTGCTTCAAACTCAAAAAGTTTATTCCTTCTTTTGAAGACTATAGCCAGCCAAAAACACCACAGAGGCCATTTTTCACAAGTAAAACCACGGACTTTTAAAAGCGGTCATCTGCTGTGCTGGAGGAGGGGCTGGTGTGATGGGCTGTTGGGGGAGGGGGCCCACCCTGACCTTGAGGCCAGAGGGTCCCACTGCCGGAGCCTGTCCGGAGAATTGGCTGGGGTGGCAGCGAGAATGTGTCAGCGCTGGCTGAGGGACCCTGGCGAGGTCCGTGAGGGCTGGATTCAACCCACAGGGGAGCGTGTGTCGTCCTCATGACAGGCGATGCCCTCACATGCCGACAAATGGCGGGAGGACTTGGCCTGTGCATACAGGGTGCGCTCAGTTTCAGAGAAGAGACTGGTGCGCAGGAGAATTAACTGGCAGAAAACCAAAGTTACGGTTCTTACTTCACCAAAAAGCAGTTTCAAAGGTGAAACTCGTCGTTACCTGGTGTCTTTATTTTGTCAAGGCGTCCCTGGCTTCTGTGCAGGGGACACTCAGTGTCTCACTCGTAATGGCTTCTTCCCACTTGATGAGGCCGATGTCCCCGCATGCAGCCTGGGGGCCAGAAAGTGCCACTGAAAGGGGAGCTGTGGGTTCCGTGACAGGGCAGTCTTTTGCTGTCTCTGGAATTTCATGGAACTAGATATCTCAGAAGAAAACCATCTGAGCCTTTGGGGTTTGGATTTTATTGGCAGAGTTGGTAAAACCCATACAAGAGCCTTGGCCCAGAAAAGGACCCTAGGGAGGGGTAGTTTGTTTGACAAAGCCCGGCCAGGCCTCATCCCCCAGACCTAGGCTGGGCCCAGGGTCTTTGTGTCTCGGTCTCCGGGCGATGCTGGGGAACCCAGATCTGGGTGCACAAGCAGTGACGTTCAGAGGCGTGCCAGCTTCACTGGGAGTGAGTGGCAGCGGCCAGCACTGTCCCCGACTTGCCCTCTCACTATGTTGGACCTCCAGGACACCCGCCTTCTGCGTTTCCACAGGCTGCCTCTCCCGGCCTCCCCTTGTTTCAGGCAAGATGGAGTGTTTCTTCGGTGGCTCTCTGGACCAGCTTTGTCCAGCACGACCTGTGTGTGATGAGGTTGTTCTTTGCTGTCCCATGTGGGAGCCACCAGCCCCGGAGGGCCCCTGGCATGGGAGCCAGGGCTGCTGTGGCCGCGCAGCTGAAGTCGGATCAGACAGCCCCCCAGGGCTCCAGGTCACCCCGCTGGACGGTGGATGGTACATGCCAGGATGGTACATGGGGGCAAGCTTCCCGCTAGACTCCCATCCTCTGGGCTGAATTAACCCAGCGCCCCCTGGGTGACGGTCACCACTCTTGAAGAGGACACGCGGAGCGGGCCAGCCGCAGGAAGGTGGGCCGCGTGGGGGTGGCCAGCGCAGCCCGGTTCTGTTGAGACTGGGCTCTAGTTACCATTTCGGGCGCCGTCCAGAGCTGGGTCTCCTGGGCCCAAACGGCACTGCACTTGGGGAGCTGGCTGTGTCTGCAGCCCAGGGACCCCAGCAGCAACGCCAGTCCAGCTGTGCCTCTACTGGGAGGGGAGATAGCACCTGGATGGCAGTGGTGACGACAGTGCGCCTTGGCTTGGGAGTCGGTGGGTGGGGGAGGGCGGGCAGGCACAGTGACCACAGGGGAGGCTGGCCAAGGGAGGGTGGAGGAGCAGTGCCCCGGGGAGACCTGGGCGGCAGCAGTGGTCAGCAACTGCCCAGGCGTGGGAGACTCAGAGGGGGCCCCGGGAGGCTAGCGGCTTGGGAAGAGGATGATCAGAATCGAGGGAGGGTGCTCCCCGGGCAGGAGAGTGTCTAGAGGGCAGCAGGTGTTCGAGACAGGAGGTCAAGCCTGGGGCAGAAGCCAGACTGTGGGAGGGAGGGAGGGGAAGGGGGAAAGAGGGAGGAGAGGAGGGAGGGAGAGAGAGGCGGTTCCCTCCGACAAAGAACTGGGGCTGAGTCGCTGAGTCCTTCTGGCTTCCTTCGCACCAGGTGTTGGGGGTGCTTGTGGGAGAAAAAGCCCAAACCACGGCCTCTCTGAGGCCACGCCCACGGAGCCAGGCTTGGGTTCCAGCCCGTCCCTCTGCTGGGAATCTAGCCAGTGGGAAGGAGGCTTCGGCAAGAAGGGGAATTTCTAGAAACCAGGGGCTTATTTGAGGAAGCCTAGGTTCTGTCCAGGCCCCGGGCGAGGTGGACGTGGCGGACTAGGCGCCCTCGGAGCATGCCCTCTTTGTCCCAGCAGCCAGCAGCCACTCCTGGCTGCGGCTCAGACCCCTGTGTCGTCCCACCTCCCTGACCCTCTGGGTGGACAGCCGAGGGGGAGGGAGGCAGCTGTCACCTGGAGCATGGCCGGGGCAGGTGAGGCCCAGCTCTGGACCAGAGCATGACCCCCAGCGCTGCTGCGGAGGAAGGGCCGTCCACTGGGACTCGCTCGGGATATTGATGTTCCCTGACCTTGAGAGGTCCCTGTCCCTTCCAGAGCCTGATTGGACGAGAGAGCGTGGCAGGCGCTTGGTGCTGAGTCAGCACGTTCGGGGAGGGAGGGAACATGCTTCCTTCCCTCCTCACAGGCGGTCTCTCTTCTCCCTTTTTGGTTCTGTTTGGAAAGGGCCCCGTCTTCCGGGAAGGCCCTTCCTCTGTCCCCAGGAGCCTGGCTTGCACCAAGCTCCACGCAACTTTCCCGAAAATCCCCAGCACTCTGACAGCTCCCCAGAAAAGGAGCCCCCCCCCAGCATCCTTGCCGGGGAAGGGACAGCGCCACGCGGGAGCAGCTGATTCAGCGCTCCTGGGCCCGCCCCTCCCCCAGCCCCCGCCGGGCAGCGTGCCCGGGCAGGCTGGCAGCTGTGTCACACGGGGCCTCTGGCAGGGTTGCTGTGGCTCTCACTGTGTGGCCCGCACTGCGCCTGATGGATGCTGGGGGTGCTCACGGTGCAGTCACATCCACAGCCTCATGCAGAAGAGGCCCACAGGAGGGTGCGGCCACCACAGGGCCTGCAAGTCAGCTCGTCCAAAGCCGGAGATGGGGGGCACACCACCCCAGCCGCATGCGGTTGCCCAGGAGCCCAGGTCGGGCAGAGTTCCTCCACTTCTGGCTGGTCCCCTGCCACCCCGGGCTGGAGGCTGTTCTGGGCGGGGACAGGCTGAAAGGCTCAGGCACTGCCACCACTGGGAACTAACCAGCTGCTGGGAGCAGCCCGGGCCAGTAGGGGAGGGCATGAGCCAGGACCCCTGAGGACCCAGAATGACAGGACCCCGGTGGACTCTGAGGCAGGAGGACTCCCCAAGGCAGGAAGGGGCCGGCTCTGTTCTTCAAGTGTTTCCCGTGAGTAGGTGTGATGGGAGATGTGGGCCCTTCCTCAGTAATCCCAGGACAGGGAGGGCCACGGAAGGCGTAGGGCAGCCGCGGGAAGACAGGGAGGAGCCTTGGAGGGTGGGAGGGAGAGCCGCTGTCAGAGTGGGCGGGGCCTGGGGCGGCCACCCCACAGCTCATCCTGCCCCCACCCACGTGCCCACGGTTGGCTGGTCAGTTGGAGGGTGTCTTCAGACCAAAGCTCCGGAGGCTGATGGGTGTGTCGGAAAGGTCCAGGCCATGTTCCCATCGGCTGCGTAGTCACCCTGATTCGTTACAGTGGGGACCAGGCTCCATTCTGCTTTTTTGAATATTAATGACTAGTCCTTGCTGAAATGTTGCGTGAATATTCATTTGGAATCAGTCAGTCCAGGGTGGTAGTCATGTCACAGGAGAAGTGGCCCCAGAGGAGGTGTGTCCCTGTGCTGAGGGACGGGTGACATCAGGCGGGGCTGTGGGCCCTTTCCTTGCCAGTGGACCCAGAAGGGGTAGGCTGTCCTCAGACAGGCGGTGAGTGGATGTCTGAGGCCTGGAAGACAGATGGTCTGGCCCCAGGGCCAAGCATAGCTGGGTATGTGGGGAGCC